TATATATATATCTATCTATCTATGTATTCATATATTCATAGCTGATTTCACGCATGCATACATACCTTAGTGGTAGTGTTTCCGCGCTGGAGGAGTATGCACATGCTTGACACGAGCCGGATTGGCCTCCCGATGGCACTGTGTCCGACCTGTTGTCGCACGGGGGCTGGCCGACTGCGTGTGGTGTTTTTAAGAGACCCGTTGGCGAGGATGTCAAGCTTCTTTGAAGGGTACTTGACTCGAGTGAAGCACCATCTTCTGCCTCAAAACGATCCGCACCTTTTCGAGACCTGGATTCGTTTGATCCTGAGTCCAAACGCTTCAGCATCTCCGCTCTTCGAGGCAACTGATTTGGATCACGTCCGGCCAGCATTGGACAGGTCGCCGACAGATGACCCGGAGCAGGTGATATTCTGCATTGAGGACGTTGAGAAGTCGCTGCGTCGCGTAGAAAGCGCCTTGTGTACCAGATTCGGCCACTGCACCCCCTTGCCGAGCTTTCCTGCTGTGAAGCGGCAGACGAAGCGAGAGCCAAAGATAGGAGTTGAGGTGGCCAGTCTCGTTCGCGAACGGTATCGCTTCGACTACGAAGCTCTGACATCTTGCTGAAAAAGCTTCCCGGCCCCACCTGCGCCTGCGAAATCTCTCTCTGCACTGAACTTGATTCCTTCTGTAAGTCAGGACTGTGCAAGCAACAGCCTGTGCAAGCTATAGACAAGTTTCCATCGTCATGTTGCCAAGCACATGTTGTGCCGCAGTCTGACATGCAACCCCTGGGGTCACCGAAGAAATCGTCATGGCCCAAGAGGTCGCACTTTGCACCGTCACGGCTCATGTGAAGTAGGGCTTTCATTCACCCCAACCCCCAGCCCCAGTACCCATGTCAGAAGAGAATCGTAGAATCGTCCCGACTTCCCTGGTGCGGGAAAGTTTGCTACAAGCCAGTCACTCTGGAGCACATGGTGTGGTAGGAGGGTGGGGGCTGTGATAACGGTGCGCCATTTGAACAGCTTCTTTCAGAGAAGAAGAACGAAGGATCTATATCTACATTTATCTATGTGCTTATGCACCTTCTTTGTGTCTATATACGTATAGCTGTGTATGTTATATAAGCATATATCAGGTAGGAGTTGAATGCACCAGTGTGAATAAGCAGTTTCGCAAGCCTGTGGACATCAATACATGCACGGAACAACGTATGCAGGTGTACATGAAAAGTAATGCTGAGTCGGGAAAGGACCCTTTTTCATGCGAGCGTTTCTCTGCAGTGGCCTGATTTTGCTGGTGGATGCAGGGCCATGGGTGGAATGTCCTACATGGCAGGTGACATCCCCCAGGGAATCAGGAGAGACTGCTGCGGACTCTTGCGCATGCGTGGAGATTGCACAAGGGAGGTTCGCATGGGGAGTCGTTGAAGCTTGTGCTTCGGAAGCTTTCCAGCATGCCACATCGGCGGAAACGGCGTGGATTGTGT